TCTGGACTAGCTCTGCTCTTTTCTGGAGTTCATTAAAATTTCAAAAGTTATGCCATAAGGGTGCCATAGATTGGTGCTATTAGTTGGGAACAATTGGACTAGTGAATGCTCCCCCTGATGTGTGGCTGTAACCTTTGTGTAATAGCGGTGAAGGCAGCGTCAAAACACGCTGTAACGCATGTAATCATACAAGCAAATAGTGGCAAAATTCAGCATCAATATTTCCCTCCCTTATTCAATGCCTCAAACGAAGTGGAAACAGAAAAGGCTTATAACCCTACCGCAGGACATTTGCAAAAATATATGAATTTCACATTTATAATTAACATGTACTTAGTTAAGACTATGCAAGCATGTGCATTGTACAGCAAGCACCATTGACAACCTGCTTCTACTTTATTTGTACTTGTATACTGCCCCAATCATCAATCACAGACCGCTTCCCTAAAACTCCTACGCAGCTACTGACTAGTTGCCTAACAGCCCCCCCCCCCAAAAAAAAAACATGCCCACACGTGACAGAATTGAGGCATGACAAATTGTTCCTCAAGCACCCAATGTTGCAGATTTGGTGGAGGTTGTCCTAGTGTGATCAATACCCTAAAGCACCAGGTATTTTCTTTAGGGCTCTAGTGGTGAATTGGGACATGCTGGTGAGATAAGAACTCCATTGCTTTATGTTGTATGCTCTGTGGTATGCCTATTGATTTGCTTAGGCTGAGCAAAGTACACCTTTGCGGTAAGCATCATCTATATTGGACCACCATTTTAAAACACAAGCATTCTACAAGTGAATTGTGTAATGGTGTTAAAAGGCTATTATTACATCTGAACAGTTTAAATGTTAAAGGAGAACTATGGGGTTAGGGCTTTTCCCCATAGTTCTCCTAAGGGTAACGGGAGGACACAAACTAGCGTCCTCCTGTCACCCAAAGCTCAGTATACAGCGAGCTACAGCTCGTGGTATACAGACATGCCGCAGCCGGAACAGATCCCAACAATTATGTCTGGATCCACCCAGACCTCCCTTGTTGCGGCTCTCTGCCGGAACAGGATCGAGAAGTGAGCGAGCGCCGGTATGTGTTCGCTCACTTCCCGATCTACTGAGCCAACCTGTGACAGTTCATTGTTACAGGTCGGCTCAAATCACTCACCTCATAATTCTCCTTTAAAGGTATTAAAAAAAAAAACTTCCTTGTGCTAGGCAGCGCGCCTCTCGAATGGATAAAACACAATATAGAACAAATATTGTTCTAGCTAATCCAAGTAAATAAGTTCATGGAAGGGGCATTCACAGTGTATAATTATAAATGACATGAAGCATATGTACTGTATGAAGGCAACATAGCTAAAGTCTATTATATGTAAACATATATGGAGATATGTAAATCAATCCATTTACAGTTTCACTTTTACGAACACCAAAAGGTAAATTAGCAAAACAGTAAATATTTGTAAAGAAAAAGCATACATCTACAGCATATAACTTGAAAAGCTTAGAAATATGTTTGCAAACTGGCACCAGAATACACAATATAATGAATACTATTCCTTCTAAATGAAATTTTCTTAACAACAAATGTGACTGACCATGCATATGTCCTCTGCAGAGATACCCCAAATGCACCTAAAGCAATACATATACTCAAGGTTTTACACTGAGAAGGTAAAAATAAGCATTGAATCACCCTAATCCTAACAGTAAACAGCCTTTAAAATGCTGTTACATGAACTTTGGTCATATAAAAAGCAAAAGGCTTTAATGGGCAGAGAAATCAAAAGGCCACATGGTACTTAATATTTCTGCAGTAAATACTATTTTTTTTTTTTTTAGCATGTCAAATTTTTATAGTAAATACTTATTTATGACCTTGTCTTTTATTCTGCATACATTCATACAGGGTCACTTACTACATTGCTTTGTCCTTATATTAAAGGATTAAATATTAACAACTCTGGTTAAAAATGTTATCAACCTTTGCAGTGGGGCAACCCCTGCACTGCAAGGGTTAAGTACTCATTTTTGCCCAGGGTAAAGAAAACAAAGTAAAGCTGCCCATACACCTTGCGATCGGACGGAACTTTTCGTCCAATGATCGAACCGTTCGTCGTTGTTGTTATTTATAGATAGCAATTGTCAATGCTACGTATATATTTCTGCTTATATATACACAGATCCTACACAACAGATGGAGTATTTATATGCATAATTTATATCGTTGTACAGAACTAGTACTTTAATCTTCACAGGTAAGCCAAGAAGGGTTTAACCTCACTGACCCAAGGCATTACAGGCACTCATTATCTGGTTTACAGTACCAGTTAGAAGCCGTAACATACCATCAGGTAAGGAATTTACTTTCTCCCAAAAATCAGCTCCTACTTTTGGCACCTCCAATGGCAACATGGAGTGGTCCCATGAACCCAACACTCCCTTCATATGCAGCAATTAAACTCGTGATATATATTGCTATTTTTATTTCGATTTGCCCAGGCTGTACTTCCATGCCAACATGATACTATTCAAAGCTATACCAGCTACAATGATGTGATAGTGTGGTCTTGATCAGCAATGAAGGGCAGGGAAGGGTGAGCAAGAAGAGGAACTATGCAAAGATGTTGCTCAGAGAGATTAAGGGTCTAGTACTGCATGAAAGTGTAAAATCCCTTTTATCAGTAGATGTCCACATACTAGACAGGAGAGCGAAAATAAAGTTTTCAACACTTTCTGAAATGATAAATACTGCATAACAAAATAAATCAGAAGGGACTTACCAAGTTAAAAATATGTAAGCGTATGCGGTTAAATAACACTGGTTTCATTTATGGTTAATCAATTGGAAGTATAGTACATGGAACTAAAGAAATGTCTACTAAGTAAAACACTGGAACAACCAAATTCCTACAAACTGTATGCTAGGATCTTGTCTTTAAAGTCCATTTCCATCTTTGTAAGTGATTTGCATTTATTGTAGAGGTGCAGTGATGATGTATACATGGGCACATTTTCATGACTCACATTGCAGTCTTTCTTCATTTTTTTTTTTTTATGAAGGTTTTATTAGGCCTGCAGCCTAAAAATTCTAAACCTTCTCCACTGGAAATTCAGTCAAACGCCAGGGTCGGATGGTAATTAGGCTGTAATCAGCTGCCCCCCCATCCTGTCACCCATTGCAATACAATCAGTAAACACTAGCTCTGCCTTTACACAGTGCAGGGAAGGGGGGGCTGGTGGGGGATATTTTCCCATTGCTTGCACAGCAGAAATTTGCAAGCAGATAAGAGAAAAGCCAACAGCTAACAAAAAAAATGTAAGTTTGTGTTTTTATATACATCAACTGCATATGCCTGCTTCATGTAGACTTGGTGTACATTACTGGCATATGTTTTTTAAAAATACCTCTGCAAAAAGGTGGAAATGGGCTTTAAGAATGATTGTTCTCCATAGTTCTTTGAGATAGCCCTAAAGACAAAACATTAATCTTAGGTCCAACACTTCCCCTTGCTGCTGGTATAAAAAAGCCAGACCCCCCCACCCAAAATACTTGTCTTTTCTAGCAGAAACCCTCCAGTACTGACTGGCTGCTGTCATACTGACAATTAATTGCCACACACAGAGCCTGCTCTCAGCTGTGCTTCAAACTGGCTCATCAGGCAACCCCACCCTCGTAACATTTCATAGATAAGCAAATTAGGTATATAAACTCTGAATGTATTTTTCTACATACTGAAAATTGATTTAAAAATACTTATTTGAAGACCGAACAAAAGAAACTCGTTTACAGCTGGGCAAATAACTTGTGATGTATTGAGTGTAATGGATTTGGTAAATGAACTGCTATTAATGCGAGCAATATCAATTTTTATTCAGGCCGCAGTATTGGCACAGTCAAAAAGGCTAGCTATTATCTGCAGGATCGAAGCCTTAAAGATGGTAATCTCTGTAAAATAGACACTTTAGCTCCCCATGCAGACTCTAATAGCAGATTAGGTCTAAAACAACTTCTGATGGCCAGAAATCACTCACTGTAGGAGTAATTTTATCCTAATACATGATATTAGTTTTCTTGTGTTGTAGAAATTATTTTCTGTACCAAGGAACATGTGATAGATGCACACTAAGCCTTTTTATTAGAAAGAAGGTGCACAGAGCCATAATGTGCAGTTAGCCACAGCTACCACCTTTCAGCAAACCTTTAGTGCAAATATCTCCATAATTGCTATAGAGTATGGCAACCGTAAGAGTCACTCTTTGCCTTAATCAATAGGCCTAGGTGTGGCTCAGGCATGACTTTTTTGAAATCCACACATGCAACATTGTAAGGTTTAAGACAGTTAGGTCTAAAATGGTTTCACGGACTGTACCTGTATGAAGTGCACATAGTCCTATGGTAACTACTTTGTAATAAAAAAGAAAAAACAAAGTGATAAAGTAACCTTTTGAGAATTAAAGATTGGTGTGTACAGAGCAAGATGCACAATGATATCCCTGCTCTAGAACTGGCACTGAAATGTATTCTGGTTATGTACCGTTCAGCTTATTTTGGCACTATGGTACAATAGTCCCTTTCTCCATAACACCATTTCATTGAATCTCTACAGCTCAATATATACATTGCTTCAAATCAGAACACCGCTACATAAAACATTGCTGGATTATAACATCAGTATTGTTCCATACATATTTACACTAAATTTTCTCTTTGGTCAATAAAACTTTAACAAAGGTTCTGCCAATTGAAAATATTTAAGGCAGCTTTATACATCTTTTCTTCTCTTCATGTGGATTCAACAACACTAAGCAAAACGATTGCAGCTGTCTGAACAATAAGAATGTAATGTATTTTTAAAAGTTTTTCTTAGCAATAAAGGTTTGCATAGCATAGTTTATGTTACAAAAATGTCAGGTTACAAATATCTGTAAAATGAACCTACAACAAAATAAAAAACGTAGCAGTCCTGAATGAACTGGAATTTGTTTTCTTCTATTTTCTATTAACTTAATTGCCAACTTTTAAAACCTTGTAAACATTATTTTCGAAAATAGTGGGAAAATGTGGCAATGACTCCTTGGCCAAAAGAGAACACAATGGAGTCTTGCCAGCATTGGATGGATCTTCAATATCCCAGATCTCCGACATGCTGCACCCACTCCTGCAAGACACACACAAAATCAATTATGTTAATGAAAGAATGTGATCATTTAAAGCGATCCTATCATTAAACAAAATCACACTTCACACTCAACCGGGCACATATCAGCCGTGTCAAAAAAAAAGTTTTGGCTTTAGATACACTTTAGATGTAAACAATAGGTGTACTTTCCTATATATAAAGGATCCCCTCGGAGACTGAATCCTGGGAAACAAAGCTGTAGGAAAGCCTAGTATGTTGTATATAACCTTTCCCCACTCCCACCATGCTCCTGTTTTGTAGCAAAGCAATAGTAGGAGTCGATTATAAGAACATAAGGGAGGGACCTGTGCCCTTTAATGTACCTACCGAAAAAAACGGGCAGAAAAGACCCGACCATTGCACACACCCGTTACCGGGTGTTTCACATATAGGTGCTTAGCTGCTCCATAGCCCGCCGATCGCCTATATGTGCTCGTTCGCGTCCCGACCCCTCACCTTGTATCCGCTGCCCCGTCTGCGGCCCGGGATCGGCTCGGAGGGCGATGTCAGTCAAAGTACCGCAGCGCTGAATACTGAAAAATGGCCTGGATGGGAACGGGGTTTAACACCGCGGATGTCAACTGGTTAAGGAACACAGGGTGTAATTCAGGTACATTTGGACATCCAAAGCAGGTTAAATGGTTAACACAACAAATAAAATGCTAATAGGCCCACAAGTAACACTAGGCCAACAGAGTAACCAGAAAAACCTTCTGACAGAAGCTGGCATCAGATGAGGCTTAAACATTCACCTGGTAAAACGTAATAAATGTGGGAACATAGGACCATGTGGCAGCCTTGCAAATCTGAGAAAAAGATGCCTCAAGTCCATGAAGCGCTAACTGATTTATTGGTGTGCACCTTCACAGGGAAGGGATGTACCCTGTCCCTAAGGGTATAGAATTGACTAATGGCCTGCTTAATCCATCTGGAAATAGTGGATTGAGAAGCAGCCTGTCCCCTGTGAGGACCCTCAGGAATGATATATAAAGCAAAAAAAACCCCCCAAAACACAAAAATAGAGTCAGTCTGTCTAAAGCAAGACGTAGCTGAGAGATACAGATGAACACGCATACCATATCCAGAAAATGGAGAGAAACCTCCTTAGGGTGTATGACAGCATGAAAGAAAGATGTAAGAACAATGCCCTAGTTAAGGTGAAAGGAAAAAAAAACCACCTTGGGTAGAAATGAGGACCTAGGCCTCAAGACAGCTTTGTCCCTGTGTAACACAAAAAAGGGCTTTTCCCAAGATAAAGGTGCCAACTCAGAAGCTCACCACACAAAGGTGATGGCAACGAGAAAGGAAACTCTGTGAGTGAGAGGAGTAGACCGGGGAATATCCCTCACAAGTTCAAAGGGTATTTTCTGAAGAACAGAGCCAGGTTAAGATCCCATGGAATCACTGGCGAACGTTTATGAAGGCAATGGGGGCTACACACTGTATGAATGCTTTTACTGAGGAGTGAGAGGCAAGTGGCTTTGAAAGAGAACCGTTAGGGATGAAATTGGACCCCTGTTGCTACTAGAAACCAAATAAGAATCCAGGTCAGACTGGAGTAAAGACAGGATTCATTCTATAGAGTATTTTCTGTCATGGATTTTCCTTACCTTATACCATAAGTCCACAAGCATAAATATGCTCTCCGGGTGTAATGATAGACTTTGCGAGAAGTGGATTTTCTAGGTTTTGAGAGCGTAGGGATAGTTAAATCAGATAGGCCACTATCCTATAGGACCTGGGCTTCAACAGTTCAGCGTTTAAAGCTAGTGACCAACAGGATGGTAAAGTGGTAAATGGTACCAAAGATATGGCTGATCTGGGGAGGTCCCATGGAGAGTCTGTTAGGAATCAAATGATATCCAATTACCACGTTCTCCTGGGCCAGCTCAGCACAATGAGAATTACCAGAATGCCAGGATGTGAAGTTCCACCCAAGCCAGAACCTGGTGGGTTCACTTTCAGCTTCAGGAGTTCTGGTTCCTTCTGGCATCAGTCATGAGAACCCTCCAGACCAGTGGAAGGATTTACCCACCTCCAGGGCTGGCTTTGTGAGCTACCAGACTAGGGCAAGGCCTGGCCTTGGGAGGTCAGGCAGATGCAATGGTCCAGAGACTGAGCTTTCTTGTCCTAAGCAGCCATAATGTTGAGTTGCATTGTTCTGGAGTGATATTGGGCATATGAAGCTGCCTCTAAAGAGGCAACTTGTAAGCAGTAGAGCCCAAAGTCCTGCGCAGAATCAGCTCCACTTAAAACACTGAAAATGTTCCAGCCGGAGATCCAGATGTCAGTCCTATCAGGGAAGATCGAAGCATGTAAAGCACCACCAGCCTCCCTCCAGAAGTCCTAACTTAATGCAGGTGCGATCCTAACAGGTCCCGGGGTTCCCAAACAGGGATAGAGAAGCAGGAATCAGGGAACATGTTCCATCCAAAACAGCCTTTGGCCACTAGATGGGGGTATTGCAGCCCTGGACCTCAACAGCAGAGTCCAGTGTAGGGGGAAAAAAAAGGAACCTTGATAAAAAGTAAAGAAAAGAGTTTACTTCTTTGAGGAGAAAAGATCTTCCTTGCTCTTGGACACTAGCAAAAAACTGGAGCATGATGGGAGGGGTTATATTAGGCTGCCCTACAGCTTTGTTTGTCAGTGTCCAATCATCTAAAGACAGCAGCATAAGCTAATAAATGTATATTATATATAAATTATTATATATTTTTGCTGCAAAACCTTTTTGTTCACATTAATTATTATATATTTTTGTTACAAAACCTTTAAGTTCACATTACCTCGTTCTTCGTATGCACCATCCGTCTTCCAATATGAAGTAATGCACTCCCATTTTCATTAAGATTTTCTTTACTTCTTTAGCAGGTTTACGACTGTACATTGAGTAAACCCGTTTTGTTCTCTCTCTAAAAAAATGTAAAGGGATATTCATTAGGAATAAAAAGCATAAGTCTATACATGATTTCTAGCTTATGAAAAAACAAGGGGCGCTTTCTCTAGTGTAGATAAGTAGAATGATACTCACAAGAGAGAAGATTACAATTAGCCTTCAAAATTAAAGGTTGATCCTCAGTCTTAGCAAAAAGCAGGACACAGCATGTGAGAGCTGCACAGATGGTGGTTCCTGTGTGACAGCACAGTATGATTTCTAGCTTAAGTTGCCTAACTTCCTGTCCAGTTTTACTTTTTGGTTAATAAACACATCAGGGAATAATAAAGCATGGTTATGGGTTTTAAAAACAAAACTATATTGCACAGACTTGTATTGTACCAAGTGCTAAGGAATCACTGGCTTGCCAAGTGCTAAGGAATTGCAAGTCTTTTCTATTCCATACTGGATATGAAGAAAACAGGACAAACCAATCATTTCAAACAGGTTTTACATTCCCGTACACTCTTGAGAAAGTGGAGTTTGTTGATGACATTTTGGATGTCTCTTTCCCTCAAAAGAGTGGTTAAGATGGACAAGCTGGATTACTTGCTGTACTTGTAAGCACATTTGCTTTTTATATTTATGTTTTAATAAATGTTTATGCCCTATAAGTACCCCCTTGTGTTTTACATATGATGGATCATCGGGATAAATGGTGACACTGGAGTGGTTGGAAAGAAGTTTAGAGCTATCGGCATACTTTCCTGGAGAATTCCAAAGAGAGGTCTCTTGTTTTTTGACCATCCTGAGGAATAACGACGGATGTGATTTCCCATGACTAACTTTCTGCAAATTGCTGCATATGTGGCAATATGCCGATGCAAAGATCAGATGTTGATGTATAAAGTATAAATCCATCTTGTCTTGTGTCAATGTTCACTGTGGTGTCACAGTGCTGACCATATGCACCCACAGCATGTCTGTTTGCCATTGGCTACATCCAGCAAGAAAATGCAGCATTCCACAAAACATACATAATCTCAAGCTGGGTTATGAATATCAGAGTAATGTTAGTGGTCTTAACTGTCCCCCAGCCTCAATCCAATGCAGTACCTTTAGGTTGAGGTACAGAATTGGGTTTTCAGAGTGAATGTATAGCCACAAAAATGAAATAAATTTTCCAACTAGTCAATAAATTATATATATTTTTTTTTAAATTCTTTATTTGGAGCCAACATTTTACAATAAACATACAACATATACACAATCGAGTGTTGCAAACGAAAGAGGTAGGTATTTACAAACATATGCGTAATAAGTAAAGCAACATCAGTTATCCCCAATCGCCTAAGTATCAAACATCAACAGCATAACTTCATATGCCGCATCAGTGTTTTCTGTTCTACGGCAATCAAGGATCGGAAAGGGCCAGCCAAGGTTCCGAGAGGGAAGGCAGGGTTACCTAGGATTGGGTAGAGCGGGGAAAACCACGTGTGGTACGTAGGAGAGCTGCGGTTGTTCCCTCAGGGCTCTAGCCAGAAGTCTCCTGCATTTATCCCCCGACTCATAATATTTCCTCCTACATCGTGTAAGCGCCACTTTCACCCTATAGGAGGTCAGGGAGTTTATCCGTTGGCGAGTGGATAGTATGTCCGCTAATAGTGTACGCGAGCCGGTCGATTTATGTCGAAGTTCCAGGCCGTGTAGTGTTTGCAACAGATCTAACAGTTCGGCCTCCCTCCGACGCTTGACTCGTGTGCCATGCTTAATCAGGACCCCCCTAATAAAGACTTTGTGTGCCTCCCAGAGCAGAACTGGGTCGCAGTTCTCTACGTCGTTGAGGTCAAAGTAGGAGTGTAGTTCTTTAGTAATAAATTATAGTTTTAATACGATTGAAATGCTGCTGAAAATGTTTGTGACACAGATATATTTTTTTCCTTATGCCTCTTGTGGCCATAATGCAGTAAATTATAGTTTTAGTAAGATTGAAATACTGCTGAAAAAGTCTGACACAGCTATGTATTTATTTACCATGCTTCTTAGCTCCATCTAGTGGCCATAATGCAGTATTATATTACATAAATGTCACCTGAATAGAAAATAGATCTAACAGCATTAATTGTTGCATCTATTGGTACAGATCTCCCAAGTGTCTAAAGATTCTTTACTTGTTGTCCACATTACACAGTTTATGGCCAGCTTATTAAAACAAAACAAAACTCAGAAGTGTGAATGTGGTCAAGGTATAAACTGTAGTTAGGTTACTTGTTAAGTGGTTAGTGTTAGCTTAATGGTTAAGGTTAGGGCGTGGACTAGTTTAGGTGTAAGGGGTTTTAACAGATCATTTTTTCAATTATATTAGAGGCTAGATTAAAGGATTTAACCACTTCAAGACCAGGTGTTTAGACCCCCTTCCTGGCCAGGCCATTTTTCAGTATTCAGAGTTTTCAGTTAGGGGGGAAAAAAAAATCAGTGTATTCATTTTTGGCTCCAAAAGCAACTCTGCTGAGAAGTTTACTAAGATTGTGAAAAACTCACCTTAAACCAGCGTCTTCATAGTGCGGGTGGTTGACTACGGGACGTCCTGTTGATAGCTTAATACTTGCCATAGTGGGCATTGCACCAGCAAATACAGTATCTGGGTTACAGAAAATACATTATTGTTATTTGTCCCTAGCAAAGCTTTACACTCACATGGTATGGCCAATTATGGAGCAGAAACTAGTTAATGTTCTTCAACTGCAAAAGGAATCTACTGTCCCTAGTAAAAACCCAAGGTAGCATAAGGGAAACTTCCGAGCTTCATGCAGAAAAGGCCTTGTTCAGAGTTCAAACAGGACCTGGGAAGTACCTTTATTGTTTTGTTTTATTTGCAGAACTTAGTATGCTGTTAAATGTACCGAGTAGCATAAAAACTGAGGTGGACTTACTTGGTTTTGTACTGGAGTTGATCCATTCCAGTAGTTCCTCCTGAGCTATGTTGCTGAACTCTCCTTTTATGTTTAGTTGGCTTTGAATGTTGCTGATGCCTTGTATGGACATCAATGCTACTATAAGGATAACCACTGGATACTGAAATCTTTTAAAGATCCACCCAAACAGCTACAATATTAAAAGAAAAACAAAATATATGCATTAGACAAAGTCTGTACCATGCTCTATACATGTGAATGGCTTTTCAGCAGGAATGCACCGATACTTTTTGAGTACCAGTGCAGATACTTGGCATTTTCACGAGAACAACCAATTTTGGGTATTATCGTTAAGGCTTGACATGTTTGGTGTCTTTTTACCCGACGTGACCCCGTCTTTTATACGTTACCAAAAAATTGGGTAATAATAAATGTTTTATCATTTAATATAGGGGAAACTGTTTTTTTTTTTACATTTCGGTAATTTTTCCTTAATATAGTAAAAAATAAAAACCCCAGTGGTGAATAAATACCACCAAAAGAAAGCTCTATCTGTCCCCAAAAAAGGGTATAAAATTAATTTCAGTACAGCGTTGCATGACGGAATAAATGTCAGTCAAAGTACCGCAGCGCTGAATACTGAAAAATGGCCTGGCCAGGAAGGGGGTTTAACACCGCGGATGTCAACTGGTTAATAAAAGAAAAGCTTTAAAATAATGGAGCCCCGAATGCATCTCCTCTGACAATCTCTGAAACCAATAAGCAATTGTTTCGTTTTCTCTTTTGATAACAGAATGATCTTTTTAAGGCTCCTGTATTATATTCAGTCATCGTTTTTGATGCATTAAAAAAAAAAAAAAATCCAAGGTTTTCTATTCTTACTGCCATCACTCTCAGTGAGAAGGATGCTCACAGAAGGCAGATGTTATGCTAAGAACAAGCAGTGATGAGAGATTTGTTCATTCTAATCAAGGTCACCAAATCAGTGTTTCCTTTTATACTGGAAAAAAATATATCCTGAAGTGAACCAAATAAAACGTTTTTTTTTAGCACAATATTGCTTATTAACCCCTACAACTACCCAACAACAATTATGCTTACACCTCCGCAATACTTATAAATATTTACCCCAGCTGAAGTGCAGTAAAATTATAAACCAACAAAGTCTTTGTGTTTGTTTCATTTGTAAAGCAACCACAGTATAAAAAAAACCCCTCACCGTCTGTTGCAGAAAAGTACGGTATCCTTTATGGAAGCAATGGCATCTCTGCAGCGGTCTGACACACCTACTATGAATCATAGCTAGAGCTCTCAAGTCGGGGCAATGTGAGCTTTACCCAGTTGAATGCTTTAGCTCTCACCACAGGGTACATGCTGGACTGCTGCAGAGAGGCCGCTGATACCACACCTGGAATTAACTGACACCTTTTTACAGAAGAGTTTGATTTGGCTTTAAATTGAATCGGTCATGAGAAATGTATGGTGCCTGCTATGGCTGAACTCTCCTTTGATGATATTAGTTCACTGGCTGCCATGCTGATGCTTTGGCTTCAATGCCTTCGGAGTCTCTGACCTGGAACATATATAGGGGTAAGAAGTTCTTACACTTTTTTATAATATTAAATTTACTGCATGCTTGTTCCAGGCCTGTGACCTAAAAGTGTCGAAGCCAGCCAGCAAGGCAACTAGTGTTTTTAGTCAGCACTTCTGCCTTGCAGCACTGAGGTCCCTATTTTGAATCCAGGTTCAGCCAGGACACTATCTGCAGGGAATTTGCATGTTCTCCCAATGCCTGATTGGGTTTTTTCCCACACTCCAAAGACACGCTGGTAGGTTAATTGGCTCCTCTCTAAACTGGCCCTAATATATGTGCATGTGAGATAGGGACCTCAGAATAAAAGCTCCTTGAGGGCAGGCACTGATGTAAATGAATAGTATGTAAATCAATGCATAAATGTACGGTGCTATACAAATACTTGTAATAGAGAAGTAAAAGAGGGCCAGCAATGGCAGTCACTTTAAATAGTATGTAATTTTCTTGCTAGGTGTCCTTAATTCTCTTGACAGCCACATTTTTCTGATGATGGCCAGTGTTATTAGCAGCATGATAGATTACAAATGGAAAATATCAGAACCAATTGCATCCTTTCTTGTGGATTCTCATTACAATGTATGTACTACATACAATTACAAGGGAAAAAAGGCAGATCAATTAAATAAATGTGACCTAGTTTCTCATTACTGCTTTTTCACTACTTTGTCATGTTTGTTGTTACTGGTCCTGTTCTCTTCCTTTGTACTTTTTATGTGCCAATGTGGAACAGAAACTTATATTAAAACTAAGTATATCCAACATGCAGACTCTTACACCCACTGGCCGCTTTATTAGGTACACCTCTTCAACTGCTTAACACAAATATCTAATCAGCCAATCACATGGCAGTAACTCAATACATTTAGGCATGTAGACATGGTCAAGATGGTCTGCTGATGTTCAAACTGAGCATCAGAATAGGGAAGAAAGGTAATTTAAGTGACTTTGAACATGGCATGGTTGTTGGTGCCAGACGGGCTGGTTTGAGTATTTCAGCAACTGCTGATCTACTGGGATTATCATACACAACCATCTCTCAGGTTTACAGAAAATGGTCTGAAAAAGAGAAAATATCCAGTGAGTGGCAGCTCTCTGGGTAAGAATACCTTGTTGATGCCAGAGGTCAGAGGAGAATGGCCAGACTGATTCAAGCTGATAGAAAGGCAACAGTAACTCAAATAACCACTCGTTACATCCGAGGTAGGCAGAAGAGCATCTCTGAACACACAACACATTGAACTTTGAAGCAGATGGGCTACAGCCACAAAAGACCACACCGAGTGCCACTTGTCAGCTAAGAACAGGAAACTGAGGCTACAGTTTGCAAGGGCTCACCAAAATTGTAAAATAGAAGATTGGAAAAAACATTGCCTGGTCTGAGTCTCGATTTCTGTTGCGACATTCGGATGGTCAGGTCAGAATTTCATGTAAACAACATGAAAGCATGGAACCATCTTGCTATATATCAACGGTTGAGGCTGGTGGAGCTTCATATCATGGATGTGCAGCTGACAAATCTGCATCAACTGTGTAATGTTCTCGTGTCAGTATGGACCACACTCTCTAAGGAATGTTTCCATCACCATGTTGAATCAATGCCACAAAGAATTAAAGCAGTTCTGAAGACAAAAGGGGTCCAACCCAGTAGCAATGTGTAACTAATAAAGTGGCCAGTGAGTGTATATCTAACACTGATTTAAATGCATGTAAAACTTCAGAACTTTCTGTTCGTCTTTCTTTTCATAAATAATGTATAAACAATACTGATATCTGCATGTTAGAAGTCAAAGACACCCAGATAACTAATATATTCTGAAACAGGCAAACATTCTTAAAATACACTTTCCTTTTAAAGATACCTATACATTTTTTGTAAGAAATATTTGCTTTAATGAATATGCATACATAACAAGACTGCCTACAAACTCCCACTCATCCATATGGCTTCCCTACAAAAAACATCTGATTACAAAACATTTATAAGACAAAACATGGCATTATTAAATATAGATGGTTCCTAAATAATCCACTTATTGTCTGTATATATGTTCTGGGGAAAAAAGGGTCACAGAAGCTGTGGTAACTCAAGAATCAGTATCATCCGTGTATGAAGTAGGCTCCTTTACTCAAAAACCCAAAGTCTGATATCTCTAATGTCCACTACAAATAGTGACTACTGACCATTAACATAACAAAACCTTCCCCTTCTTTGCAATACAGTTCTGTGTGATGATACTTGTGCTGAGGGATGTGGCTGTTACTCAGCTCTGTCAGCAAAAGACACTGCAGTGTGATGAAGGGAAGCAGCATTTTCCTTAATTTCTACCAAACATTATTTGTTACTATAAGATGTATAAACATTCTAAAAACAACAGCTGCCCCCTGAAAGATCCATATCACTCATACATCTATTGCTCTGTATATATTGGACAAACAACCCAGAACTAACTATGGGGCAGTACAGCACAGCATTTTGACAGGCCCTAGGATTCTGTAGCATAAACACCTATTTGATTGTGTGTTTGTACCATAATTATTCATACTGTACTATACATTGTGATGTACTTTGGACTCCCATCTATACAATATGCATGCTAAAATATTCTTCAAGAGTTTAACATACAATGCCTCTTACCTGTCTGGAGCATATGAGAGAAGCCATTACACACATGTGAGGTGTAAGAAACAACTTCAACCTCATTATTAAAATGGCAAGTAAAGCAAATGCCACCAGCTGAAGGGCGTGATATAACAGCTATGAAAAAGTACAAAAAATACTTTATTAGAATACTGTAATTAGGAAACTCATTAAAGATCATATATAATGTTCTTATATAAATACAAAAAGGTGAACTGTGCCCTTCCCTACTCATATACAAAAGAAATCAGCTTACAAATTCCTAAGTTGATCAAAAATTTAGATATAGTTTGTGACTAAACAGTGATTAATTAGATTTATAATTTGATCATTCTTACCTCTCCACTCATAGTATGCTCCACTCTGAAAAGAGAAAAATGCCTTAAAGTTTAAAACACATGGTTTGAAATTATATTCTACCATTAAAAAAAAAAACATGTAGTCCTTCCCCTCTTGCCAACACAAGACACTAATGGATTGTATATTCCCTAAGTATCTTAGTTACTATCCTTCAGTTATTAGATATGTGGCTACACTAATAAATAACAAGGGAAACCTGGTATAGCCCCCTGTCATTTTGTTTTTCCCTTGAGCCAGCTTGGGGTGGAGGAACATGCTAGCCAGTGACATCTCTACCACAAGATCTTTGACAGAAAGCAGGCTGCAGATAAGGTACGATCTTGGTGGGAAATGGAAACACTTTTGGTAAACTCATTGTTCTCTAATTGAATATTTAGTGCTAGATTTAAAGTACAGGTCCACTTTTAATAGAAAAGCAACACAACAGATGTATCCAGAGAACACAGTAACGGTACGAAAATATAAAAAGCTCTCAAATTACATTTTATTAGGGCTGCGGAAATTAACGATGAATCCTTCGATTAATCGTTAATTTTTTTGATCGATCAAAATTATTATGATCGGAACTCACCTTTCCGCCGGCTTCCGGGAGTTCCTCGGAGATCCGGTGACGTCGATCCATCTATTAATCTAACACAAAAATTTTAATCATTACCAGCCCTACATTTTATTGATTTTTTTTATAATCACTTGCTCCCAGATTCAGCATGCTTTTCAGTTATGATTCTACCTAGATTCGTTGCCAGTCGCACAATGTCATGCTGTGCAACCTGCTGGTCATATTGCAGTTCCTATGGACAAGGAGCCAATGGGCTTAGAGGCATTTAGAAATGAAGGCTACACACCACTTTGGGGATGCAGCTAGCAAGGAGGTCATGTACAATGAATGAGGAAGGAAAAGGGATACAATCCATTAGGTAAATCAGATTAAACATAGCAGTATCATATTTGACTGTAGTGCTGGTGTGTAAGTTGCAATGCATGTTTCTTGTGTGAGAGCAAAGACAGAGAGTGACTTGCTAATGCATGAAGGCGACTTATATCTTGACTCCTAGTCCTATTAAATGTTAGGGTAACGCAGATTTGCTTGTTCTGTAAGTAGACCAAAAATGGCTTAATAGAATCTTGTAATTAATCTAAGCAACAATCACATAATGGGCTAACAAATGAACAATTCTGAATATGAGTGTGACAAAAGTTGCAGCTGAATTAGTCTAAAAGGAAATGGGAGGGGGAGTGAAAAATGGAGTCACAGATGCCAAGTTTGAAACATTATTATTATAGCACATAGCCTAGACTAAACCTCTGCAATATGGAAGTGAATGCATAAAAAAAATGCTTTCAATATTTAACAATGTTATTAAATGAGAAACATAAATCGGCAATGTATCCAATCAGTGATAAGTCTAAGTTCATAAATTAAATAAATTAACAGTTAAAAATTGTATTATTACTATGGCTACTGGTAAGATAAAACTGCAGCAAGGTTATTTTTCTTAAATTAGATAACTACTGTGTCTGTGAAGGTCCTCATTTATCCAGGTCACGTTATAGTTAGGAGTAGTTAGTCACATTCAGCTGGACCTGTTCTATAACTACAATTAAATGTAACAAACTGCTACTTGTGATAACTAGTCTGGTTCTACTCAAGTGATGGCAAGTAGTCCCAAGGCCATTTCCACTGTAATAAATATATGACATAAGATTCCCTGAGCATAATGGTAATACTAGAGAAAAACACAGCAGAGGCTGCCTTGTAGTTCCATGCATTTTTTTATTTTTTTAGTTCTGACCAAAATGAAGAAGCCAATTATGTAAAAAACAAATCACATGTTCTCTTTAAAATCCTTAAGGCTTTAGCGCCACAACAAGATTGATCAAAGAGTAAAACACACACAGTAATAGATATACCGTATAGATATTTAAGGTTTGTGTATGTAAACCCAAACAATGAACTTCTCTTACTTGTCCCATTTTGATGTGCTAAATACACCATTAAAAGTGTTTTGTTCTATCTTTTCCATAAAACGTACCCGTTGAAATCTTGTGAGTGGATAACTTTATTTGAATGAGAACATCGAGGGGTTATGGAGAGGAGGAGAGGTTTGAGTTCTTTGTAATATGTCAGACATGAAGTAGGTAGGGCTGACAACACGCACATAGGAATCCACAGCCATGTTGTAACATGAAAGAGGAAGGTAGCAGCATTCTTTACCACAATAACAGGGTTATTGTAAAGGGATAAAATATGAGGAATGTGCATGCATTCCAGATATACGCTAAATATGTTTTTTTTTAAATTTTGCCTTGACATATGCTTTAACCTCCTTGGCGGTATTCCTGAGTGTGGCTCGGGGTTAATTTTCAGTACCATAAGCAGTAACCCCGAGCCACACTCGGGAATACAGCGCAGCGTCTCTTACCTTGTCCACGATCCTTGCTGTGTCCTCCGTCTTCCGTCCCTTGCGAGCGTCCGCGTCACAAGGGGGCGGAACCAGCGGGAATTTTAAAAGTAACAACAACAAAAAACCCGAAAGAGATAGAACAAAAAAGGAAAAAAAATAATAATCATACCGCCAGGGAGGTTAAAGTGACTCACACTTTATGATGTGGATACCCAAAACATGATTTCAATTATAGTGGGGTAATAGATTTCCCAAGACTACATGTTGCCCTTTACTTTGATAATTGCATTTATACATTTTATGTAGTTCTGAGATATACAATATTACTACTAACAACAAAACTTAAATGCCACTGAACAGTACAGGGGTGTTTTCACACTTTTTATAGAAAAATCAATACAAAATGCTGTAGGAAGACGAGTCCTTCATATTACTATTACACAAAATGTACCTTTCATTTTCTTCTCTTCGAATGGTACTTTGGCTGTGGCAAAACATCTTTTTAAAAGTCTGAAAAAAAAAGAAGAACAATTTACAAAATAACGTACATTAATAATATGTTCACAAACAAACCCCAGAAGTTCAACTTAATATTTGTCTTATATCACTATTATTATTAGTATTTGCAAAAAGAGCCAATTGTTTTAAAGATTTACTTTGTCTGCAAAACACATTTAAAAGGGCTCAACAACCCACTGAAAGAACCATGAGCTGCAAGTTATTTTTAGGAGCTTTTGGAAAAGCTCAACACCATCAATGTATGACCATACTTGAATCTTAACGAATATGATTATATCATATATCATACTCTACCAAATACAGCAAAGAGAAGGAAAATAGCCACATATCTTTACCCCTAGCATCAACAATTTATTAAGGGTTGTATAATGTTATACTGCTCTTCAAAGGCTGCTTCAGGAAGAGCCCATTTACACTATCCTGGTCCACTGTGGTGCTTTACATGCATGCGTGTTGTGTTAAGGTTGCCCATTCATCTTATTGGGCTTCATCACAATTGTCTATACAGCATTTTCAGCAGCACACTGCAACACACTTTAGTGCACTGATGGTGGGTGGTGGTACCAAATCCGAATAAGTGCCCATTTCCAGGACAGCACAGTGTGCATCCGCACATTTTCCGTAGGTTTTGGTGCGCTGGACAATTTTTGGTCCATTGTGGTGCGTTAGGCAGTTAATGGTGCAGTTAAACTTTAAACCAGCACTGCACAGAATGATGACAGGATCACTTTAAGAATTTTGTATAGAGCTTATTTGTTTCCTGCCCATCTTCACCACCTCTTCCCCCGTCTCTCTGACCTACTTCAGAGGATGTCCAGATAACAGATATTTTCTGCATATTTAGTGGATAGTGGATATTTAGTGGATCTAACCTCTAAGCTTGGACGGATCCCGACAATACTGTCTGGATGAGACAGTATTGTTGCGTGAGTGACAGCTGGCTCTGCCTATCTAGAGGCAGAGCCAGCTGTACCCCCCCCCCCTTCCGCCAGTCAGCGATGGAGGATTCGGAAAGGGGAGGGAGGGGGGGGAATCCCTGCAGGGAGCTGTGAGTGTGTCACTGCTCTCTGCAGACACATGATCGAGAAGTGAGCTTTCAACAGTATGTGTTCACTCACTTCCCGATCTATTGAGCCGACGTGTGACAGTTTCATTGTCACACGTCGGCTCAAACTATGAGGCTGAGTGATTTTCACTTTCCTCATAGTTCTCCTTTAATACTAATAACTATAACATTATTCAAAGAGGATTCGGTAAACATCATAAAGGCACATTCATTTATTGTTACAAGGAAACTATAATAGTTTTGGGCCAATTTAATTTGAGTTCACTTTTCTTTCTTTTTGCTAAAGATCTTAGTTTTGGATAGAGTAGAAAGGATTAGAGCCCTTGTCAAGTTTGGGGGAAATGGGAAGATTCGCCCTCTCTAACTACCGAAAAAAATCAAAAATGTTACAGTTGTCACCAGAAAAAGAGGTAAGGGTAAATCATCCAAGATGTTCTGGATAGGGTAGGGAAGGGTTAAAGGGTCCAAATAAATTTGGGAAAATGGAATTACCCCCTCCAATCTGGCCCACTTAGCCCCCTCTCCAAGTCAGGTGAGTGCGCTAACCAATGAGTACTTGCCACCTGCAAGCAAAATTCTAAATCCATAACTCTGTACTGGCAGAGGGGAAGGAGCGTTCGCCGAAAGGTAAGTATAACGGGGGCTTTAGAGAGGGGGCAAGATTGGAGGGGGTAACTCCATTTTCCCAAATTCACTTGGGAAAGTGGGCTTACCCTTTAACCCTTTCCTACTCTGTCCAGAACTGAAACAAAGTTATGGCTATACGTACATTTTAAACAAATATAAACTGGCAGGCATCAATATAGTTGAGTGTTTTATTTCATATAAAGCAACAGTTATCACCCAAAAGACTAATTTGGCTCTTGAATGCATAATTACAACACACTGGGGTGTTGTACAAAATGTAGAATAAATTAAGTATTTTTTATGTTGTCATGTTTCCAAGTCAGACCAAAACATATAAACTCACTTGCTTCTACGTATGAGCAATTCAAAAAGATTCCTTTCATCCAGTTTTTCACATTCAGCCTCATTGTACAAAATGTTAAATCAGTGCACCTACAACCTTGGCCTTCTATGCATGACTGTAATATTATTCCTATTACATACCCGAGCACAAATGATGATAAACACCAGCATCACTACTGGAAGTAAAAGGGTCTTTAAATATCTCAATGGTGTCTGAAATGAAACAAAAATGAGGTTGCACTGGATTAAACATACTCAAAAACATAAACAAATACAGGATTTGTGTGTTTTTTTAATACTAAAAATATTGGTTTGATAAACATTTGTGCAAATACTGTGCGACATAAAAAATTGCAACTAGCATTTTTTTTATTCTACGGGGCCTCTGCTTTCAGAAAATATATCATTGTTTGGGGGTCTGAAGCTGTTTTCTTGTACTTCTTGTACTTGTATTACCATAATCATAAAGCTATTCTCCAGGCTGCCCACTTCTGTGTGGATACTCACTGGATAAATGTACAAGTGTCTGGCCTTAGGCCCCTTTTTCTATAAGGACCTATCATAGACCGTTTCAACATTCTTTAGACTGTATATAGAGGGGTTCCTAAGATGGTGGTTGTTTTTTGGGGGAAATGTACCCGGGTACACTTTCTAAATAAAGTTTGTAATAAAGCAACTTTGTGGGGGTCTTTAGAATGCTTTTCTTTATGGGCTACATCAGTATGGCATTGAAGTCTGTTGAAGTTCTTAAACAGTGTTTGCCTTGGTTGCTTGAAATATTTAGTGACTACTGTGGACTCCAGACTATGAAGAGGGTTTGTAGGTCACACATATTTTTTGTATTTGCATCCCAAGGCTAGTGGTTTTCTTATAAATGTGTGGTTAGCTGCATAAGCATTTGTCATAGAGCTTTCCTGGTCCTTTGTGTCCATGTCTCTACTTTGTTTATTGCTTAGCCCCTAGTGCAGGGGTGGGCAACTATGGCCTTCCAGCTGTTGTGGAACTACCAATCCCATGAGGCAATGCAAGACTGACAGCTACAGGCACGACTCAGAGGCAGAGACATCTGTAGTTAAAGCACAGCTGGTGGGCCGGAGTTGCTCAACCCTGCTCTAGTGTAAACAGTATTCCCCAAATGTATATATGTTTTTAATAATTAAAGGAGAACTATGAGGTGAGTGCTTTTCACTCACCTCATAGTTCTAGCCAACCTGTGACAATGAGACTGTCAGAGGTCGGCTCAGTAGATCGGGAAGTGAGCGAACACATATCGGTGTTCGCTCACTTCTCGATCCTGTCACTGTTCTCTGCCGTGACAGGGGAGGGGCTGGATTCCCCCCTGCCCGCTCCGATCCGCCAGCGCTGACTGGCGGAACTGACGGGGTAGGGGGTGGGTACAGCTGGCTCTGCCTCTAGATAGGCAGAGCCAGCTGTCACTCGCGCAGCTGGGCGGATCCAGACATAATTGTCGGGATCCGCTTCAGCTGCGGCGTATCAGTGTAGCTCGCGGTATACTGCGGCGTCTCAGTGTACCGCGAGCTGTAGCTCGCGTTATACTGAGCTTAGGGTGACGGGAGGATGCTAGTTTGTGTCCTCCCGTTACCCTAAGGAGAACTATGGGGAAAAGCCCTAACCCCATAGTTCTCGTTTAAGCAACTTTATTAAAAAAAGAGAAACATTGTGCATATTCAGAAAGAAATGGTAGGGAGGTGCAGTTTCTCTACTCTATCAAGTATAAGTCCAGTGCAGCACATGTTGCACTGCAAATTTCGCTATGAAAAACATGGCATAGCAATGCATAGGCAATTATAGCTGTTACCAATGTGAGTTTGTATCTCGAAGGCCTTGTTCACATTGGCATTGACAAATATGCATTTAGAGGACATTAAATAAATATAAATGCATATCATGATTTTTCATGATATCATTCAAATGGGGCACTTACCTGCATTTAGGGAAAATAGAATTCTGTGTGTCCAGGATCTGAATGTGGCTAAACACAAATAAACCTGGCAAGTACATCTAAATGCAGGAGAAAGTGATCTGGGATATATACAGTAATGTGCAAATGTTTTAGGCAGTGGTGAATAAAATGCTGTAAATTAAGAATGCTTTCATAGTTTATTTTTATCAATCAACAAATTGGAAAGTAAATGTACAGAAGAGAAATCCACATCAAATCAATATTTGGTGTGACCACCCTTTGCCCTCAAAACAGCATCAATTCTTCTAGGTACACTTGCACACAGTTTTTGAAGGAATTGGATGTATTTTCCAAACATCTTGGAGAACTAACCACAGATCTTCTGTGGATGTAGGCTGCCTTAGATCCAGCTATTCCTGTAAGGATCAATGGTGTCCTCAATGCTGAGAAATACAAGCAGAAACTTAACCATCATGCCATACCATCAGGGAGGTTTGTGATTGGCCCTAAAATTTATTCCGCAGCAGGACATCGACCCCAAACATACAGCAAATGCTCTTCAGCATAAAGACAAACAAGGAGTCCTGGAAGTGATGGTCTGGCCCCCACAGAGCCCTGATCATCATCATCAAGTCTGTCTGGGATTACATGTAGAGACAGGAGGATTTGAGGTAGCCGACATCCTGTGCAAGTCGACCTAGAAGAATTGATGCTGTTTTTGAAGGCAAAGAGTTGTCACACCAAATAGTGATTTGCTTTCTCTTCTCTTCATTACTTTCCATTTTGTCAATTGATAAAAATAAACTATTAACACTTTTATTTCTGAAACCACTTTACAGCATTGTTTCACACCTGCCTAAAACATTTGCATAGTGCTGTATAACATGTTTATTTTTCCCAGATAATTTCTCCTACATTTAGCCTAAAAGGAGGGGTGCTAAGTGTGTCTTAGGGTTAAATGTAGCCTCAGGGTTAAATATATGAGAGATCCATAACATATCACTTTTGTATATAGCCAGGATGGGAAGATGGAGTTTGGGTGACCAGGTGTTAGAGAAAGCATATCAAACCCATTATATAAAGGTGAGGCTTAAGGCTGAACTACAGTATAAGCCTATATTGCCTATCACAAGAGGAATGTGTATTTTTTTATTTGAATCTTGGTGTGCTTTGTGTATTTCTTCCAGATCTGTGCAGTAATCCAGTGTGAAACTTTGCCTCTGTGCAGGAGCACCCTGTAATAAAGGCCAAGTTTTGTAATAATTCCACTGCACTCTTTACCGGTATACACCCCTAATGGATGGGTGCTGGAGTGACTGCGGATGGCGCCACTATATCCAAGTAGACACAATGGGGGGGATTTTATCAAAACTGGAGAAGACAAAATCTGGAGCAGATTTGCACTGCAACCAATCAGCTTCTTTGTCTCATTTTCAAATCTTACCTGAGCAAACTGAAGAGAGATGCTGATTGGTCTGCCTGCTCCAGTTTAAAAAAAATTCCCCCCCACTGTGTCACCGGCACACCAAGGTCAGATAGCCAAAATCGTCTTTATTGAAGTGTGTACATCTTGTCATAAAGAAGTCTAAAATGCCCATAAAGAAGATGACATTTTTGGATATTTGACCTTGGTGTGCTGGCGACACATTAAGAGGGATTTATCAAAACTGGAGCAGACAAAATCTGCAGCAGCTGTGCACTGCAACCAATCAGCTTCTCCCTTTCATTTTCAAATCTTAACTGAACTGAGGAGAGAAGCAGATTGGTTGCCATGGGCGCCACAGTTTGGATAAATTCCGCCCATTGTATCTACTTGTTATAAAGACCAGTCAGTGTAGCTCTCTCTCCTTGTGCAGGGTGACTGGTCTTGTATCTGCCCCATCCTTTAGTTTTTTGCAGGTAGTCTGTAGTGGGTGAACCTGCTGGGACCCTCCTAAAGCTCTGCTTTCTCACAGGCTATGTGCACCACAATGATGATATCTGGGTTCACAAAAGGCATCTGGTGCACACAAACTAGATTTATATCCTTTGTGGCTGTTTAATATATTTTAATAAAAGTTTTTGAGCCCAGAGTTCAGCTTTAAAGGCTTTGGAGCTTATGTGCCATATGGTCTAATGTACATATTCCAGGGGTGTTAAGCAATCTACCCCGTTACTGTTTATGTTAATATATTCAATAGATGCCATCTTAACTGTGACAAAAACATGACTTGCCTTCAACTCATTATTGTTTTGCAGGTTCTTCATAAAAAATATGCCTACATTAATATTTTATACACATAGCTACTTAGATTATCTCGAACACAGTACCTCTTTCTCCATGAAGTCAAACTCCGGTGCACAGGTATACATCAAAGTATCAAAATCCTTGTAGCTTGTAAACTTTGATTTCAGTATGTTGAATATATGTGCCTGAAACAAGCACAAATAGCAGGCACAGTGATATATTCCACAGTGTTTAAAAGTAATAATGAACATCATTGCTAAAAGAACTCCAGAATTTAGTTTTTTATTTAATTAACCCTTGCAGTGGGGCTACCCCCACATTGCAAGGGTTAAGTGCTGGTTTTTGTCTAGGTTAAAGCCTCTCACCCCCTCCTCTGCAGCGGTCTAAGGTCCCATAAATCATCATGTTCTATACACAGTGTATAGACGTGTGGGAGCTGAGAAATATTAAAATGCTGCAGTGTAGGAGGAGACAGCTGGCCAGCTCAGATCTTCAGGCGAGTATAACTTTGTTATTTTTTAACCTAAAGAATAATGAGCACCTAACCCCTGCAGTAAAGGGATAGCCCAACTGCAAGGGTTAATAAAACATTTTTTCTTGGAGTTTCTCTTTAATGGGCGCTGCATTACTTATTAGTCTGAAACAGGGGTAGCTAAACTTCAGCCCTGCAGCTGTGGTGAAACTACAAACCCCATGGGCAATCGCAAGACTCTGACAGCCACTGGCATTATTTACAGAGGCAGATACATAATGGGATTTGTAGTTTTTTTATTTTAATACAACAAGGTGCTACCGGGGCAATACAGAGATAACTTCAGAGTCCACATTTCAAGGGATTTGTAGTTTCACCATAGCTGGAGCGCTAAACTTTGGCTACCCCTGGTCTAAAGAGTAATCTTGACTCAGAAGGCATCCAATTACTTGCTATATTCTATTTAGTAAATGGAATCTTTACCTATAAGGAGTACATTACTTGCAGAACGGTGTTTCCATCAGAGCACTATCTGTATGATGTTTAGACATTCTCACATTTCCTAGGGAATTCTAAGTGACTGCTAGTTGTACCTATGATTCAAAACACACTGCTTAATTGGCTTTTGCTCAGATGAGCTCAGGGATTTGTGTCTGTTCCGCTCTGGTAATAACACTAAAATATGACCTCCTTAGTGGGCACAGACCTAATGATTCAACTCTTGCTATAACAACTGTGAAATATGAAGAAATAAATAGTAAATGAAATGTTGGCACCTTGTGATGAACAGCCGTTTTTTTCCTATTAATCTAAAAGCAAGGATTTTAAAATACAATTTAAAAGGGAAACCTCTTGGCTAAAAAACAATCATTACACAATAGGTTTGTAATTTGATGTTATTTTAAAGGGTAAGTGCACTTTAAACAAATCTTTTTTACCCCCCCTCCTGTGACTTTACAGATTCCACCCTGCACAGATGTATATTTATCTCGATCTGACACCTGCAGCCAATGGGGATTGTTTATATTCTGTGCCTGCACTGTATAATTACATAGAGGTCTATGGGGCTCGTCTACCTCCATCTGGCTGGGAGACATAGGAAGACAAGCCCCATAGACTTCTATGGGGCTCGTCTACCTCCGCCTGGCTGGGAGACACAGGAAGACAAGCCCCATAGACTGCTATAGGGCTCTATTGCATAGGTGTGGCCAGAAGAGAGAGGACTTGCAGTTCTGGATATAAACAAACAAACACAGGAGGACGCAGGTGCTGTATCTTGGTAAGTATGCATCTGTGGATAGGGTGGATGGGATCTGTTAGGTCAAGGAAAAGGGGCAAAAAGAATAAGTCCATTATTCCAATCTGGCAACACAGGGCATTCAATACTCTGTGTCTAGTACACTTCCAGAAAACTCACCTCCTGCTTGGTGATTAAGTCACCACTTTCACCAGTAGTATGCACAGAGCTTGGGGTAACATTTTAGGTACCCCCTGCACTCTCCATAGGTATTCTGTAGTGTGTTTTTAAACGTTGGTGAGATATTTGGAAAGGGTACTGCATATTGTGAAGAATGCTAAAAGTCTAGAAATTAGTATTTGCCTGAAGAAGTTACTATAATCACTAGCTCAGTATCGAGAGAACAGAAGCAGCTAAGAATCTGTTTGCAATGGCTATACCTGACCTAGAGATTATTGTTTTTTTTATTCAACAAAAGTGGAGTTTCACTTCACCCAGTGTTATAAATGTAAGAGACTGCAACACATTTTAAGTTAACAAGCACACATGGTAACATGGATACTTACATCATCTCTAACACCCAGCACCCTAGAAATGAGTGCTTTTAGGATTATGGTACCCAAAATCCAAGCCAAGACCTGCAATATCTAGAAGTATAAAACAATGGATAAGTATCAGAGTTGCAGTAACTCAAGAAAAACCATATACTTACAATGACTTAAAGCAACTCTAATGATGCAGTCAAGGATTTTAAAATGGACCTAAAACCCCAATATATATGAAAAATCTCTTGGTCCTCCTCTTCACTCAGTGGACCTTTCTGCTGACCCCTATCTCACTACAAGACACAGTAATGACATGGAGGTCGGCAGGAAGGACCACTGACCACAGCAGGGGACCAGGAGAGCAACACTGCCCCAGTTTCTCAGCAGACTTCAGAGGAATATTTCTCATCACTGAAGGAAGGTTCAGCAGCATGGGTATCAGTGGAAACTGGGTGACTGACACACAATCTAACCTGTTACAGTGAGAATCAGGATGCACCTGTACATCTAAAGCATTCAGCAGAGGTAACTACTTGCTGACCTGACCAGGCCATTTTTCAGTATTCAGCGCTGCGGTACTTTGACATTTATTACGTCATGCAACGCTGTACTGAAATGAATTTTATACAATTTTTTGGGGACAAATAGAGCTTTCTTTTGGTACGCATGTTACGTCAAAACACGTGACTTCATCAGGTGTCTGGGTCCAGACGTTACGTCAAAACACGTGACTTCATCAGGGGTCTGGGCCCAGACCCCTGATGAAGTCACGTGTTTTTACGTAGCGTACGTAGGGCAGAGCTTCTGATGTCACTGCACTGAGCTGAGCCGGACGAACAGGTTTTTTTTATCGCTTTGCTGCCATTTGCCCTGCTGGTCTGATCCAGCAATACCCAATACCTGCACTGTTTATATCAATGAGTACGCATTTTTTATTTAATAAATTGCATTTTATTGGACGCTACGCACTATGTCCTTGTCCTTTTTCTCTTTCCACCGGGATTTATACTGGTACCTATGATCTGAGGAGACCTTATCGCCTAATCTATGCATGGGCTTCCCTCCCCCATTAAACCTAGCTCTGTAGGTCTACCTCCCCAGGTGAGCACTCACTTGTTGTCATCACTCACTGGGTGGAGGTGAAGGTCTGTCTGCATTGTGTGATTATCCTTACCTGAGAGTTTAATGCAGATTGGCTGCGAATCATCTGAGGAATTTTGTTTGCACAATCACCATTGTTTGCTTTTGTTTGTTCCTGGGACTCTTTTTGTCTATATTGCTTTTTTGTCTGTGTGTAGATATTTTCTATGCCTCATTTGTTTGAAGGCTCATATTGGAAAAGATACATGGTGTCTGTGTGTACGTTGCAACCTGAGCCAGCACTGCAGGAAGAGGCCCTGAGCTGGAAAGGGAAGTTCTCCCCAAGCATGAGAAGAGATGAGGATTTAAAAGGAAGAGCAGCAAAGAGAAGGGAAACAACCATGGATTACAGTAAGGTGCACATTACAGTATTGGTTTATGTTAAAAAATCTGAGGGTTTAATGTCGCTTTAAGTCTTTGGCTAACCATTGCCCTTCTAGGTACTGAATTAAAGCTCACCAGAAGCCCTGTGATGCCACCCTCCCCCAGGTGCCATGAGCACAAGCCAAGGTGTACGGCAAATATTTTATATTTAAAATTTTCTCTTAAAATTTCTTTCAGGCTTATTGTAGTGGTTTCAAATGGAGGGCTAAAGTGTAAAGAATAAGTGGATACATTCCTTCTTATTTCCTTTGCAGTTGAATATATATGCAAAAGAATCCATTGTGTTTGAAAAGCATTACTATCATAATGTACAGATAAATCACAAGGACAGACATTTTTATCTGTACTATAAAGAAAGACGGGCTCCCTTGAATCATATGAACCTTGCAGCACCTAATTCATTTCACTGCTTTTACTGAATATGCAATCTCTCCTACACAGCACTCAGAATGGCAAGTCACCACAATAGGATCTAGTATTAGAAAAGTAAAACCCATATTGGCTTTTTTAATGCAATTTTTAACATGCAACTTAATTTAAATTCATTTTTGCAAGTAAAATATTCAGCATTCTAATATGAGCATTTATATTCAAAAATATTTGCTTGTATTTCTAAAACCTGTTTAAGCCTCCATAAAAAACATTCACCCACATTCATGCAGCCATATCAATATCAAGTATTTTTGTTCAGCCGACCACACCATGATTTATGATCATTCCATGAGGAAGAATATGACTTAACTAATGTTCCTGTATAGAATTGGCACCTCGTAGTCCCCCCGTCTACCTTGCCTGAGCCTTATCTCCTTGCGTGGGACATGAATGATTCTGCCATCTACTGGTTAAAAAAGGGAACTGCAATGAAGGTCCCTATTCTGCACACATACATACAGGGACATTTAGACATGAGTCAATTAACCTTCCAGGATGTCTTTTGGAGTGTGGGAGAAAACTGGAGTACCCGGGGGAAACCCCCAAAAGCACAAGGAGAACATGCAAACTCCTTGCAGATAGTGGCCTGAAGAGGATTTGAACCGGGGACCTTCAGTGCTGCAAGGCAGAAGTAACAACTACACCACTGTGCTCTATCAGGCTGACAGAACTGCTGCTTAGTAAACTCGGTCAGCAGCACCAGTGCGTAATGATCCTCTTGATCCTTGTGATAGTTCTGGTATCCTTTTCTGAAGATCCTGTTTCCCAGTCTGGATACAGTTCAGACTGGGTCAGCTCATTCTTTGGTTGCAGTGTTAGCCACCAGCAGGGAAGCTTTTCCTGTGAAATAGATCCGAGTGCACACACATGGTCCCTGCCTGGTTTCAGGATTATGCTCTTCCTCAAATATTTTCCACTTCAGTTCCACTACCTGTCAATTAATAGTGGTGAGGAAAACC